CACCGGATTGGCAAGGACCCGCTCTCTCCTGGCTGTAGTGTCCTGGCTGCCTCGGTCTCTGGCAGAGGCCTCAGGAAAGAGCCACACTGGAGGGCTGCACAGATGAGGTTCCCCAGGTCCTGGATCCCGTCCTGGGACTCGATGCCGACGGTGCCACCCAGGCTGCCGCTGTAGAACTCCACCAGGCCTGCACACCGCAGGCCCCCGGGTCGCGCCACCAGCTGCAGCCTGGGAGGAGCTGGGGAGGTGGGGAGGGACCTGAGTGCTGATGACCAGCAGCAGGGCCTCTCTTGCTCTGTGGTTCTAACACACAGACGGGTGAATGACTGGCCGACTGCCCTGGGAGGTGGTGAGGTCCCAAATATTGCATGGAACATGCGCTACAACTTTTCATGCTTATCTGAAATTTAAATGTACCTGAACACCCTGTGTTTTTGTTTGCTAAATCCAACACCCTACCCCCAGGGCCCTCAGAATCCTTTTACCTGTGGGCTCCGGAGTGGTTATGGGCGGGGGGCTCGTGGGAAGAGGTGTTGTCCTCAGTGGCTCTGAAAACAGATGCTCTGGTTAGGGAGGGGGCCGGGACCCTGGGAAGGAGGAGGGAAGAGTAGGGGGTGTGGGGAGAGTTGGGGTCAACAACTGGCCATGTTGAGAAAGACCTGGAACTCATGATGTAAGTACCACGGGCTCCATTAAGCCCACTTGACCCACACGTTGTGTCTAAGCCTCCTGCGAGGCAGGCAGTACCGGCCCATTTTACAGTTGGGAAAACAGAGGTTAAGAGGAGACAATGAAGTTAACTGTTGGCAGAACCAGCTCTCGACCTTTTCCATCCCCAGACAGGTGCCAGCACGCCCTTAGTACTCCTCCTCCAGTTCCCCACCAGTGTATGTTTCTGAGAGGGTAGTTGTAAATCGGGGACCCCTTCCACCTGCCTGCTCAGGCCCCAGATCACAGGCGTGGGCAGCCTCCTCGGGGCTGGTGCCCAGGCCCCGGGAACCCACAGGGCCAGCTAGTTACCCACCTAAGCAGATCAGGGCCAGAGGGTCCCCCTGATTTGCCTTGCTGTCGCTGCAGTTGGAGAAGGACCCCAGTTGTCCGCGGCAGGTGATCTGGCTCTGGGGTCGCTTCCCTTTGAAGTGACGGAAGTGGGAGAGGAGCAAGGGCTCCCTGCATCGCAGCTCCTGGCAGAGCTTCCAGGCCTGACTGGGGTCCTCCCGGTGGAACGGGCGCAGGCCCCAGCTCTGGCTGTGCACCGTGTACCACTTGTCCTTGTAGTTGACCTCCAGATGGCCCTGGCACCGCGAGCCGGAGCCGCTTAGTCTCACTGTGAACCCTAGGGGTCAAAGAGGTGGAGGGGGCAGTACGGCTGGAAAGGGCCCTCCATGGGGGCCCCTCCCTGCACCCTCCGCATCTGGACCCCCCACCCCACCCCAGCAAGGCTCCCGTTGCCCACGGGCTGCCTGCTTTGCTCCTCCCGTGAGCGTCGTCCTCTGGGACCTTGCAGGGACTTTCCAGAAACTCAGGCTGATGCTGCCCCTGATCTGGGCGGCCCCTTGAAACCAGGCCAGGAGGACGGGGCTTGAGACCTCAGAGCCCAGGGAACTCGGGGCAGTGAGCGAGGGGCTCTCAGCGCCCACCGTCCTGCAGAATTGCCCCTTCCTGGAAATTCTGTTTCAATAGACCCCAGATACGGCCCGGAGCCTGATTTTTTTCTCTCTCTCTAACTTTTATTCTATTTTTTTTCTGTTCATTTTTTAAATTGAAGTCTAGTTGACTTACCATTGCTGTGCCAATCTCAGCTGTACAGCAAAGTGACTCACTTATACACATACAGACATCCTTTATTTAATATTCTTTTCCATGATGGTTTATCCCAGGAGATTGGATACAGTTCCCTATGCTATACAGTAGGACCTTGTGCTTTATTCATTCTAAATGTAACAGTTTGCATCTACCAACCCTAAACTCCCAGTCCATCCCTCTCCGTCCCCCTTTCCCCCTTGTCTCTAACTTTTAAAATCAGTTTTATCGAGGTACAATTTACATACAGGGACATGCACTCATCTTAAGGGCACTTGTTCAATGGAATTTGACAAATGTGTACACACCTATAGCCCCCGCCATGCTCTAGACAGAGAACATGCCCATCACCTGGAAGTTGCCTCATGCCTCTTCACAGTCGATTTCCCTGAATCCAGCCTCAGGCAACCACTGATCTGCTTTCTGTCACTAGAGATGAGTTCTGCCTGTTCTCAAATGTTACGTAAGTGGGACTGTACAGCAGGAACGATCTTGCTAGAGTTTGGAGCTAGGATGCCATTGCAGGCTTCCAGGTTCTGGCCCAGGGTCTACCAAGCCCTCTGTGGCCCCTTTTGGTTGTCTGGTAGCTTCATGAGATCCTCTCGCCACATTTGTCACCAAATACATTCAGCATGATGTTATCTCAGGAAATGTGAAAAAGAGAGGTCTGTGGTGAAGTGAGTCTGGGAACTGCTGAATCTGAAAATGCTTAACTGAGTTCCTCATTGCAGGACTTCTCGGAGCCTTTACTAGGCCAGTGTCCCCCGTCAGGAGTCTGCGGTGGGTGATGCAGTGTTGCCTACCCTTTGTCCAGCGAGTTCCGTGGAACCCTGTTTGGGAAACACTAGCCTCTAGGATTAAAGTCCAACCTCTAAGGCAAGACGTTTCACATACTTTACAATCCGGTTCTGCAGCCCCAGCTGCAAATGTCTCTGGCCGGGGAGCATCTGGCAGGACTGGGCAGGAAAAGAACTTTGCAAGCTGCAGTTATGGCCACAGTATCTTTTCTGCGTCTGGTGAGTGGGTCATGATAATAATTAGCATGACACCCAGCATCTGTGGGGTGCTTTACAGCCGTCTAGGGCATCTATCTGCAAATGGGCCTCTTAAGTGTGCGTGCATGCATGTGTGCGTGTGTAGGGGGTGTGGGCTGCACTCTCTCTCTGTAAGGTGGGATTTGCTCCGATGGAGGGATGGCAGGTCCCCCTACAGCCTGGTGGAATCGTGCCACGGCCCCCTCTCCACGTGGCTCTTCCTTACCTTGGTCCTCTAAGTCGAGCCCTCTGAGACCTCTGAGGCAGGAGGTGACTGCAGAAGGGAGAGAAGAGGGTCAGGAAGGGAAGAGTCTCCCTCCTGCTTTGCCTCACCTCTAGTCACAGCCTGATCAATGGCATTTTTGCCTCCAGCCACTGTCATGGGCTTCAGGGGCAGGGATTTTCATACTACAGATGGCAACCCTTAGGTGGGTCGTGAAACCAGTTTAGTGGGTTGCAACCATCAATTTTGCTTCTTGTTTTAAAACTTTACTTTTTATTATTTTTTTTCATTAAAAAATTTCTTTTTTTGCGGTACGCGGGCCTCTCACCGCTGCGGCCTCTCCCGTCGCGGAGCACAGGCTCCGGACGCGCAGGCGCAGCGGCCGTGGCTCACGGGCTCAGCCGCTCCGCGGCACGTGGGATCTTCCCGGACCGGGGCACGAACCCGCGTCCCCTGCATCGGCAGGCGGACTCTCAATCACTGCGCCACCAGGGAAGCCCAAAACTTTACTTTTTAAATGAACATGCAGTAAATTCCATTTTCTTTTAGTGCACAATTCTGTGAATCTGAACACATACACAGATCTGCATAACCACCGTAACCATCAAGGCCATACAACAGTCCCATCACCCCCCAAAATTTCCTCATGCTGTCTCTCTGTAGTAATACGCAGCATTGCAACCATCAATTTTTAAAAAATCATGTAGTAACACAACCACCGATTTTTAAAAAACTGAAACGGACTAGAATAGAAATGTCAGAATGCATCGTGTTTCGTGAGGATACGGCTCACTTTGTGTGTGTTGGGTGGCAATATAAAAACATCCTGAGTGTTGCTTTCAATCAAAAAAAGTTTGAACGTCATAGTTCTAGAGAGCTGAGAACTGAGCCAGAATGGGAACCCAGGACAATTGTTACTTTCTAGAATTCCCAAGGCAGGATAAGAATGATAGCAATTTCTCTTTAACAGCTCCCAGTTCTAGAGGAGGAAATCAGAGCTCAGAGAGGCAGAGGGGCTTGCCCAAGATCACACGGTCAGTTGGTAAAGGAGCCCAGTGGACTTGGGTCTGGGGGCAACTGGCCTCCCCTCTGTCCTGGCTCCTGCCTGGGCCCCTTCAATAGGAATGTGGGCCATTCGGCAGTCCCTCCTCCTCGAGCCTCGTCTGACTGTGGAGCAGGGGTGTCAAAGTGGCTCGTTGTCTGTGGCCATGTGTCTGGCTCATGTGTGGCTGGGGCAGAGGTTTGATCTGGGTGGGGACAGGTCGGGTGGCATGCCTGTATGGCCTCAGAGCCCCCCCTCCATGTTCGCTGCCCGGCTTTATCAGTTGTGGAGCAACTGTTTGGTTTCCATCTGCCCCAGGCTTGCTTCTCAGTTGGGAGCTGGGGACAGCATCGGTCAGGGTGAGTACTTTATATAGTAAAGGGCTGTGTTTAAGTTTCTTTTGAGAAATTGTTGCTGGGTGTAAAAAGTCCCGTTTTTGCCTGAGTGTTCTGAAGCTGGTGGTAGAATTTTAAGGGGAGTCATGCCCCGCCAGCCTGCCCACTCCCTCCAACCAAGACTCCTTGTAATTAAGTTGTGGCCTATGGTAAGTTTCTTCCATCTTGGCAAGAGCCTGCCATGGTTGCCCCGGGAGTCCTGGGCCTTGGAAGGGGAAGGTATTTCTCACACAGAGGGCATGTCGGGTCCAGAGCAGAGGCCAGAGCTCTGGCCTGGGTTGGGAGGGGGTTGGCCAGCTGTCAATCATCTGATCTATTGCAATGGGCAGGGCAGCCTCCAGGAGGACATGGTGGAGATGCCCGGCTAGCTTGGTGAGAGAGGAAGCAGGGGGCCTTTGTCCAGCCCTCACCTCTCACCCCTGACCTTCCACTCCTACCTCCCTCCGTCCCAGTTCCCACCATGAATGGGGCTGTACACCTTTAGGGATTCATTTCTTTGGCTAAACCCTGAGGGCACTTATGGGGATAGGGGACCCAAAGATCCATTCTTTGGTGCTGAATGTTGCAGGTTAGGTTTTCTGGCACTGATGCCTTTCTCTGGGTCTGAGTACCAGCTCTGCCACTTCCTTAGCCCCTGTGAGCCTCAGTTTCATGGTCTGAGGCTCAGTATAGGAGCAAGAAAGGGACCAGCTTCATAGCAATGTTGTGAGGATCAGATGAAATAATCTACGCAAGAGACAGCCCAGTGCCTTCCTGGCTGGCGTTCAGTGCTCAGAGCTGGTGTTGCTGGTTGTGGAGCTGGCTGGGCCCGGGGCAGGGGTGGGCGGGACTGTAGGCCTGCTGGGGAGTTTTCCCAGGGGCAGGAGTCCTTGTCTGGATGCTTGGAGAGCCAGATCACAGGGCTCGCCACCTCCCTTTCCCACCTGGGACCTTCGCAGTCCCAAAGTCAACGTCCGTTAACAGCAGCTACCAATTATTGAACACCTACTGTACACTCAGCACTGGGCGAGGGGTCCTTATGGATATCATTCATCTTCAACACGGCCCCACAATTTGAGTTGAATATATTCACAGTATAGCTGTCGGGAGAGGCAAGTGCCCTGTCCCGAGTAACACCGCCAGCAAGTGGCAGGGCCTGGATTTGAACCACGAGTATGCCTTCCAAACCCATCTCTCTGCTTCCTGCCATCCAGCTGGGCCTCCAAAGTGTCAAGTTCAGGGAATGAACAAATGAGCAGAAATGAACATGACCTGGACCCTGACCCTGACCCTGGTGCTGGAGTCCCCAGACCCTGAAGCCCCTGGAGACAGGGACTGGGCCTGACCATCCCTGTGGATCTCACACAGAACAGCCAGAGAACATTCTCAGGAAAGACTGCACAACCTGAGAACCAAGAAAAATTCTAAAAAAGAAAATGCTCTGTGGAGAAAAGGCATCTATGCATTCCAGGGCTTCGCCTCCCTCTGGGAGCCTGACTGGCCTCAGGTGAGCAGCATTTCTTGTCTTGTCCCTCCATCACCGTCACTGTCACCACCACCATCGCCATCACCACCATCACCGTCACAACCATCAACACAGTCACTGTCACCATCATCACTACCACCATCATCACCATCACCGTCACATCATCATCACAGTCACCGTCACCACCACCACCATCAACACAGTCACCGTCACCATCATCAACACCATCACCAATACTGGTACTGTCACCATCGCCATCACTGTCACCATCACCATCACCACCACCACCACCACCACTACCATCCTCAACACTTTTTTTTCTTTGGCGGTGCACGGGCCTCTCACTGTTGCGGCCTCTCCCGTTGCGGAGCACAGGCTCCGGACGCGCAGGCTCAGCGGCCATGGATCACGGGCCCAGCCGCTCCGCGGCATGTGGGATCTTCCCAGACCGGGGCACGAACCCGCGTCCCCTGCATCGGCAGGCGGACTCTCAACCACTGCGCCACCAGGGAAGCCCTCAACACTTTTATAGTTGTACTTTCTCCTAGGCATTTTTATACATTAACTCTCTCAAACCTCACCACAGCTCTGTGAAGTTGGCACTATTATTCTGATCTCCATTTTATAGATGAGGGAACAGAGAGATTAACTAACTTGCTAAGCAACTGATTAAGAGTGGGCCCAGGACTCCAAGCCAGGCCATCTGGCACACAGTCTGTGCTTTTGACCGCTGGGCCGAGCTGCCTCCCTTCCCTTCAGAGAGAAGGCTGCCACGGCCTGCTCTGTGTTTCACCAATTCCTGCATGTTCCCGGCGTGCAAACCTGATGAAAGAGAGTGAACTTGTGATTCCCTTCAGTCAGTGAAACATACTGTGGGAAGACTTTCCATGAACTTGCTGTGTGATCTTGGCAAGTCACTCAACCTCTCTGGGCTTGGTCTCCTCGTCTGTAAAGTCAGGAAGTTAGAGTCCACCCTCCCTCACCTTCCTTTCTGTTCAAACTTCCATGATGTATCATCTTCAGCTCCTGATATAGCTCAGCGGCAGGCAGGCAGGCAGGCAGGCGTGGGCAGGTGAGATGTGTGACTGACTGGGAGCCTTCCTGGGTGCTGCTCCTTCCTGTCTGTCCAGGGATCCATTCAGGTTTTGATTGTCCACAACTTATTTTCATTCTTTCAGCTGCTTCTCACAGGGATCAGACCAACATCCTCCTTCCCCTGAACCCTGCTGACTGTGCTCGGGGTCCCTCTGAGCCCCTCCCTGGCTACAGCTTAGCCCAGCCCCTGCGTGCAGCCCGAGGCCCAAGGTTTTGCTGCTGCAGAACCTGCAAACAGAAGCCTGGGGACCCATGATACCAAGAGGGGCAGGAGGCACAGAAGCATCCTGCCATTCCTCAGTCTCTCATCCAACACCACACCCCGAGCAGCTGGGGCCAGGCCCCTTCCCTCCCCTGCCAACCTTTCCTTGGAGGCCCCACTATTTAGGGCTTAGACTGGCCAAGCCAGGGAACGATCAGGGCCCAAAATCCAGAGAGACAGTAGGAAGGCTTTTTCACTCTCCCCTCCCCCATCTCCTCATGTCTGCCTTTGCAGAGATTTAACCATTTTGACTCTGCCTGCCCTGATGAGGTCTCAGTGAGGAGTAAATGAATTCCTGAAAGAGGCTCTGAGACATTTATGTGCTCACCCCCTCCCTCCCCTGTCCTCTTGCATCCCCCCACATTCTAGACGGTTCTCTCTTTGGTTCCCTGTACAGCAATCCTCTGGGCCACGTCAGGCCACAGATGAGTTTTATTTGCTCAGCGCAGTGCTATAATTTTTTTTCTGGAGCCCATTGTTTTGTAAGGTTTCTTTCCGTTTTGCTTCTCTTTTTCTTTTTTGGCCGTACCGTGGCGCACGCGGGATCTTAGTTCCCCAACCAGGGATCAAACCTGAGCCCCCCTGCAGTAGGAGCACAGAGTCTTAACCATGGGACCTCCAGGGAAGTCCCTTACTTTTCTTTTTTAAAAAAAAAAATCCCAAGGTCCAGATGTTTTTGAAAAACAATATGCTTTGGCCACGTGGGGCTGCATCCCCATGAGCCCCCAGGACAGCCTGTTCTGTCCTGGTTTGCCAGCACCTTCGGGGCACCCTACTGTCACCCTGCATCTGGAGAGGCTCAGCTTCAAACACGTGATGGCTTCTGCAGCGAAACATATGAATTTTCACACTAAGTGGGATGTGTCAAGATTATAAATAGTCTCCTATTCATTCAGGTCAGGATTTGCACTGTAAACGTTTGCCAGAAATTTGCAAATTTGGGGGGGGGGGTTTGGAATTGCAAATGAACGTTGATGGACCTGTATTATCAGTCCCACTTTACAGCAGAGCCAGAACTTGGCCCAGGCTGGTGGCTTCAGAGCTTGTACCCTTGATGCCACCTCTGACCCACTCATGGGCCTGCCTGGACCCGTGAGCACCTACGCTTGCAGCCCTACACACTGAGAAATGGAGACAAGAGTGTGGCCTGCCGAGGGTCCAGGGGGCACCGGGATCCCAGGGAGGAGCTGGGACTTTACTGATGATAATAATAGTGACAGCGACCTCTTACCCTGTGCAGACTCCAAGTGTTTTTCACGGGAGACCCCATTTCTTCCTGACTGCCTCAATCAGGGGGTCTGTCATCACTCTGTTTTCCGGATAAGGAAACTGACAGACTGATTTAGTGCGGTTTGGAAGTCTGATGTTCCATTTTTTCCATTAACAGTGATTCCCGTTAATAGTCCATAACATTCTCATCAATTTACAGCAAACACAATGTGTCAACTGCCTTTTGGGGGCATTCTGGGTTTTTCTTCCCTCCTCCTCTGCTGAGAGGCTGACTCGGAAGGCCAGGAACTCCGCTTTTCTGAAACGACTCTCATCAGTGGGGCTGTGTTAACCTGAGTCTGTATCAGGGCTTCAGGGAAACAAAGATCACAAAGGGCCAAAATTCTGTTTCTCGGGTTGAGCACCAGATGAAGTGGTTGGCTTTTGATCAGGAGCCTTTTTATGTGCAAAACTTGTAGAAAATCACACTGGGCTTATGCCAGGAGGTGCCTGGGGGCTGGAGCCTGCAGAAGGAACAGGGGATTCAGGTCTCTAATCTCGCTCACCCAGGGTCTGCGCCGATGAGCGATAGCGCGCAGCTTGTGGGCAGAGTGGCTTTCGTATCTGAATTGCAATTCCACGCTCTCCCTGGTGGCCTCGTGTGTTTGACTGAATTTGCATGAGTTTCACGCCACCGTATGTGACTCCACTGTCACAAGGACAAGGCCTCCTTTGTGTTCAGAGCTTCACATATCCCAAAGCCCGCACAGGGGCTCGTCCTTTCCATGCACAGCCCTGTGAAGGAGGAACCGAGCTCACCCCTATTTTCAGATCAAGAAACTGAGGTTCAGAGAGGCTCAGTGACTTGCCCAAGGTCACACAGATTGCTGGTGGTAGGGTCCGTGCAGAAACTCCGTCACCATCACTTGACAGGGCCCCATGGGACTCTACCAATGGGAGACCCCAGAGCCCGCTCGTCCATGGTACAGAAGGGGGAAACTGAGGCCGGGGAGAGGGAGGGGCTCACTCCAGAGGGGAGTCTGGCAGTAGAGGGGACCCTTGCTGCCTCTGCCAGTTGCCACCAATCTCCTATCCTGTTTCTACCACATCTCTCCCAGCTGTGCCCCAGGGAGAAGGGAGTATCAGGGTCCCTGTGGGAGCCGTGTGGGACAAGCCCCCCCAGGGGTACATAACAATGATGAGGGCAGGGGTGGTGACAGTAGTAGTTATAGAGGAAGTGATACAGGGCCACGATTCCCTATCTGCAATCCAAAGTCTAAAACCAAAAGTCTTTTCTGATGCATTTGGCAGGAAGGCATTTGTGCCTTCAGTGTGCGAATTTGGTTTCACTGCAGAAATGGGAATGTGTTTGATTATGGCATGTTGCCCAGTCTGGAAAATTCTGGGTTCCCAAATGCATCTGGCCAGAGGCTCCAGGTAACGGCTTGTGGACCCGGAGAGGCGAGAGTTCCAGTTTCTCTCCAGGGCACTCTGCCCCCTTTCTCCTCTGCTTGGCCCCTGGGTGCCTTGAGTTCATTGGAGAAAACGCTCTGTGCTCATTGAGGCCTCCACAGCTGCCTCGCCACCAGCCTGTGTGTGACGGCCCGTCTGCCTGCAGCCGTCGTCCCCGGGTCCACATAGCATGGTGCAATCACTCATTTCCTACATGTATTTACTCAAATATTATCTTCTCGTGAGACCCACTGCAATTTCCTGGGATACAGCATGGCCCCCGAGCTCCCAATCCCCAACCTCACATCACTTCGTGACCTCCTAACATCCATATGATCATTGATTTAGCTTCTCTCTGTCTGTCTCCCCATCACACCCCAACTACGATGTTGGATGCACCTGGACAGGAATTCTGATTGTTCATTGCTGTGTCCCCAGCACTTAGAAGAGTACCTGGCACATAGTAGGTGCTCAATAAATACTTGCTGTCTGAATGAATGAACCAGATTTAATGATAGCAATTATCCTTTGAGATGGGCACAGTGGTTATCCCCATTTTATAGATGAGAAGGCTGAGTCTCAGAGGGGTGTTCTTGTCATTTGTGAGTGGCCAAGCAGAAATCGAACCCAGATCTGCGTTGCTCCAAAGCCCCACAGGCCTTCACAGATGTCTGCACGCAACACAGGCACACATATGGCAGGTACACACACAGCACACACACATGCTCACCAGGCACCCACAGGCACCCACATGCATGCACACGGAACAGGTGTTCAGTCAATTTTGTTGGGTGGAGTTGAAGTCCCTCCCTGGTCCCCTGGTCACTGCAGGGAAACCCCTCTGAACTGTAGGCGCTGGTCAGAGTGACCAGAGGGGACAGACAGTGCCAGCCCCTGAGCCCCCAGGTCCCTCTGCTACCCGCGGGGGGGTGGGGGGAGCTCGGGGTTGCTGGGGGCCTGATTCTTTGCACCCAGAGCCAGCAAGGGCCTCAGCTCTGCAGCTGGGGCCGCGGGCCGGATGGCGGGCTCACTCTGGGCGTCCCCTCTCCTCTCCTCTACTGTGGATGCCCAGCCCCCCTCGGCCTGTGCTGCCCGTGGCCTTCACCCTTGATGTCCCCTCTGCCTGGGACACT